AGCAACAATTAAAACTTGCACCCTATGCAGTCGAATTAACTCCTTGATATTCCTGCGAAACTCGGCACTTGTTGCGCCTCTCACATTCCAAAATAAAATCGTGATAATGGACACAAATTTAAGGAGAGGTAGCCAAGATACGTCAACCATCCAACGGACGGGGCGGTTGGCTATCCTTGTAGTTGGCAACAACTTCAGCCATAACCATCATAGTGTCTTCCTTTGCCAAGTCCTTAGCATCTCCATTGTCAATCAGCACGCATGGTTGGCCTTCACTTACCGCTGCATGCAAAGAAGGAGGGTGCTCTTGCGGCAACTTGAGTGGATCTGTTTCATCATGGAGGTGCCCAGGGCCATGAGGAATTCCGGGAGAAAACCCGAGGGGGGAATGCTGATAACTATCATTAGTTGTAATATGGTCACAATTCAGCTCCACATGTGCATTACTTGGCCCAATAAAGGACGCCAGTCTTTGGGAATCAAAATCAATGGGCTTCGAAGCACCAGCCTTAAATTGAAATTCTGGTGGAGGGCCCAAAATTTTTGACTCCATAAATATTGGAACTTTTTCCTTTGACTTCAACTTGCCTTCTTTAGAAGTAGAAGTTGACTTGTATTTAACTATCATCTTATCTGAAATACGTATCCCAGATTGTTTAGGTCTCCATTCCCTAGTTTGATTCCCTTTTTGGGCATCCCTCTTACTTGCCTACGGTAGCAGTCACCCTATCATTAGGCGTGTTTTCATCTTGCAATCCCATGAAATCCGTAGATAACAAAGCAGTGAATATGCTACCCTTGTTTAGCCGTGCATCCCGTTGATTATTAGACTTTCCTTTCCCAGCCTCACCACTCACCGGCCGCCGTCCACGTCGTCGTTGAACAAGCATCCAAGGGCCAAAATCTGACTCCTCTTGCGTCACCTGGCTTGCCCTTTGGGACTGGCTTCCAGGTAGAGACGGGTTCTCATTCTGTTTAGGGGCATGTTCATCCTCCAGTAGAGCATCTTTCAGTATCTCATGGTCTGCCATTGTAGTTCCATCTCCTGCAGACAAAGAACAATCATCTTTTCTATGTCCAAATTTGCCACGCTTGAAGCAAATCATCTGAATGCCTTCATATTCAATTCTTTGAGTAGTTTTTCCCAAGACAACAAAAGGCAAAAGAGGTTTAGTAAGGTCCTCAGGGAAGACATCAGAGAATTCTTCCAACACAGGAGCGACTTCTGGGGGAGCTGTATTAGCAATATCCTTAGGAGCTTCTCTAGCGGCGAGGGCGAAAATGGGAGCTCCATTGGCTAGTTCACGATCAATCTCTTTAGCTCCAATTAGATTAACGCCTTGGGAAAACTTGTTTGGATCGGGCTTCTTGTCATTACCTTTCGGTTGAACCGGAAGGATCTTGACCTTCTTCCCGTCATGCTCGAATAATAGCATATTGGATCGCCCGAAGATATGAACGTCGTTATCAAATAGCCAGGGTCTTCCAAGAATAACTTGACCCACATCCATTTTCAGGACATCGCACCAAACTTTGTCCTTATAAATGGAAAATTGGAGAGGGACTAAACATCTCTCTTGGACATTGAGTGCGGTGTCGTTAAGCCATGATACTTTGTATGGGTTAGGATGGGGTACAACTTTAAGACCAAGCTTAGCGATCACTGCTGAGGAGACCGCGTTAATGCAGCTTCCACTGTTCACGATCACTTTATAATTTTTATCACCAATCTTTGTAAACGTATGGTATTGAGGGAATGTGATGTGAAACAATGTGAATGCAGGTGCAAGATCAGCGACAACAATGCTTCACCAAATCAGCGATCAATCTAAGCAGGAAGTTCAAGAGTAAAATGAAGCGAACGACGGTTTTTAAGCAAAAGTTGCAATGTACTAAGTTTGAACCTTTGTAAAATTATTCCGATAATTAATGTAATGATTTGTTCTCTTAATACAGTTCAATTTGTAATATTTAGATAAGCAGAAATACTCAGCAACAGAATCACTCGCTCACTATTCAAACTGAATACAGCAATTGATACTAAGATTGGTAATAGCATGCACGCAATAGCAATTCAGAAAATACTTGGGCGTAAGAAAATTAAACCTTCGTCGGGTTGGACTGGTTCGATGGGAGGATCCTCTGGAGGCGGTGTAATAACTCCGAATCTGAGTGGCGGGAGTTCTCCTCCGAGAGCTACGTAATTTGGGTGAAGCGGCGTATCTGGATGAAAACATCGGTGCCAAGAACTAATTCCCAAACTGCTCTCCACACTGTCTACAAGCTGACGAGTCACGCGTTCGACGTATTCAGGAACACTCTCGAACGTCCGGTAATCGAACCACGTGGAAAGCTGCAAATCAACAATACCAGTCTCTGGATGAAGCACGAGATCGTTGTCTTCAGCGTCAGGGTCAGCCATACACCAATGGATCACGACTCAAAACTTAAATCACACTGAACCAAACTAAACCCTAGATGAACCGAACCAGAGACTCGGTTCGGGCCAGAGCAAACAAAACCGACCCGATTGCTTCTGCTTTGTTCGATCTGAGGAAGAGGGCGAATGACTGAAGCAGCGCCCGATCGGTCGATGACGACGGTCGTCCCAGAATCGGAGAGGAAGAATTTTATATTCTATCTCCTGGAGTAAAGAGACTCAAAGTGAGATCTCCACTTAGAGAATCTGGATTGGTTTGAATAACCCTAACTGTCATAAGGTTTGATTACTCAATTCAAAAGTGGACCTTTCGTTCGCAAAAGAAATGAATCGAAAGGAGATTTTGGCTGTGGTCCTAACTGTAGTAAGGTTTGACCAAGTGGGGGTTTTGAGACGATCCTGACTGTAGGAAGGTTTGATCGTTCCATTTGTGGGCCTCTCGTTCATTGAAAGAATCGAGAGGGGATTTTGGTTGTGGTCTTAACTATTTAAAGGTTTTGACCAATTGAGGAATTGGAGTAGTGGAGGGGCAAGAGCAGGTGACTGCTGCTGCTGAATTGGAAGCTGATTCATTTCAGGAGTTCTAGTGGGAACAGAGGATGATACTGGGATCTGGTTGGGCAAAGCAAGGGCTAAGTGCTGACTGGGAACGTTTGGTGTGTCATCGTGCCTTTTGGGCTCAGGAACTGACGATGATGAGATGGTGTCTTCGTTGTTTTGATACTTGGTAGTAGAGGCAGATTCCCTGGGCGCTAGCTGAAGTCTGGTCAACTCCTTCTGAGTTTCGGCAAGCTCTTGTTTGTCTCTGAGAATTTGAATGGACCTGCGGACCTGATATAACCAAGAAGAATTTTGAGGTTTCTGTGGCGAGCATTCTTATCATGTTTGATAAACTAAGTAATTAGGGAAGGAAATCGGTTTCCTCTGTAAATAAATGGGCATTATTGAGTTTGATATATAAGAGGACTGACAGATTTTATGTTCAGCAGCGTGCACTGCTGTTTATTGAAAAATACAACATGAAATCTAAGAACAAATTAAAAAAAAAGCAAGCAGAAACATGAAGGTTGGATATTTTAGTATGAAGATTATCAAAGAAAAAAAGGAATATCATGTAATTTATTATATTCACTTTAAAGGTGGCATTAAAGGATCCAAATCCAAATCATATTCACCAAATATTATTCATGCGTTCCGCATGACTATAAACAAGGTCATAAACTGATAATACTAAAAACTGGATGTGGGAGATGAAAAAAAAAGGAAAGCAAAGAAATTTCGTTTGGTAGGTGAGAGATACAAATACATATTAACTTCTCTATGACTTTCATCAGATACAGTGACTACTGGGGCCATGTTGTCTAAGGTGCAATATGGAACCATGTTAAATGGTACTTGATCATCATGATTTGTTCCTTATAGTGGAGTAGCTAAAGACCAAAACATTCGTTGGGTCCAATCCAAGTCCCTCTGGCCAAATCTGCCAAATATGCGTTTGGTCCAACAAACCAAACCAACACTCAGTAACATAAATTAAATACCACACCTAACCCTTTCTCCTTCGCTATTTGAATGCAATGTTGGCAATACAACAGTAAACATCAGAGAAAATTGAAATAAACCGACCCATTCACTGTGAAGATATCCCGCCATTTGTATGCAATAGTCAATGTTCGAGTGCAAGCACAAGAAGACAACAGAAAACATTGAATAAGAAAGAAAAGCGAAAACAGATTAAAACCTGTATTCTCACTTCAATTTTGCATAGGCCTGTTTCAGGGTTTTTTAGATGTTAGCTTGACTCATCATGAGTTCTTTGTATAGTGCTTTTATGAGTAGTTTTTTATATTCAGTTGTTGTGATTCCCCAAGGGGATTTTGTTAAACTTACAATGCCTTAGTCAGTCCTGTATATAATGCCCATTGGTAATGAAATTTATTCATTTACCAAAGAAAAGTGAAAGGAAAAACTGAAAGAGTGCTTTCAAGGGCAATAGGAAGCATGCTCCTACATTGACCTAATTTGGAATAAAATTAATCAATTAGTTTGAACAAATTCAACTCAAAATTGGCCTAATCAAGATCGCACGAGACGATGATGATGTATAAATCTCGTTAGCCTATCAAATAACCAGTCCCAACTAGAGAAAAAGTACACACTTGCATCCTAAACCTGAAAACAGAAGTTCTAGATTCGGCATGGCTAGATGTCTCCAACATGGTACCCATATTCGGTCCACGGAGCATTGTTGTCAAACAAGCATTTTACACGCGTAATGGAGCTCGAATAGTGTTCATTATAGTATGTGTTATGTGTATCAGTGTATGTACTCAGGATCTACAATGCATGGGCATCTTCACTAGGTGACACGGCTAACCAAAACGCGGATCAGCATTAGATAGTTAGAAACATTAGATATTTTTATACCTATGTGACTAAGGCTTCTTATTTAGAAAAAAACTAGAAATTATGCTGAGATTCCCTCAGATAATAGTGTAATTACTCAGATTTGCCTCCAATAAAAATTGTGATAGTTCAAGAGAAGCAGCAAAGCATAACTTACTTCTTGCAGATGTTTTTCAAGAGACTTGAGCTTTGTATCTGTTTGACTCTGATCACGGATCATATCAGCTTGAAATTCACCTATTGACCGCTCGAGTTTGTAGCAATATATCTCCAGTTGTGACAACCGTCCACTGATCCCATCAAGATGGCGCAATAGATTGTCAGCATACTTTTTCATGCACTTCTCAACAGCATCTATTATTTCTTCTTTTGAATACTCATCTTGTTGACCATAAACACTAACCAACTGTCTTCCCATTCTGCTTTCATGAAAACCCTTCACAATTAAAAAAAGATGAGTACACTTTTTTAGATCACTATGATACAAAGAAATACAACTAGCTGCTTGAAACACCATCCAAAGATGTAAAGCTAATTGCTCTACAAAAGAAGAAATAATAGATGTTACTAGCTTTATCGCTCTACAAAAGAAGAAAAAACCTTTGCAAGAACATTAACAACAATGTAAGCTGCTACTAGATAAAAAATGTTAAAAGCTACGAAGCCCTAGCATTACCTCTTTGCTCCATCCGCATGGCTCAATACTGTTGGTGAATATTTATCAGCAGCCTATTTCATCCAAAATATAGGATATGCGTGACACCCTGCTGAAAATTATTACAACATAATTAAGCCAATATATTTTTTCCCTTTAACTTGGTATATCAAGGCTCCAATAAAAAGATCGTACGAGACGGTGATGATGTATACATCTCGTTGGCCTATCAAATAACCAGTCCAACAAGAGAAATAGTACACACTTGCATCCTAAACCTGAAAAACAGAAGTTCTAGATTCGGCATGGCTAGATGTCTCCAACATGGTACCCATATTCGGTCCACGGAGCATTGTTGTCAAACAAGCATTGCACACGCCTAGATGTCTCCAACATGGTACCCATATTCGGTCCACGGAGCATTGTTGTCAAACAAGCATTGCACACGCATAATGGAGCTCGAATAGTGTTCATTATAGTATGTGTATCAGTGTATGTACTCAGGATCTACAATGCATGGCCATCTTCACTAGGTGACACGGCTAACCAAAAAGCGGATCGGCATTAGATAGTTAGAAACATTAGATATTTTTATACCTATGTGACCAAGGCTTCTTATTTAGAAAAAAAACTAGAAATTATGTTGGGATTCCCTCAGATAACAGTGTAATTGCTCAGATTTGCCTCCAATAAAAATTGTGATAGTTCAAGAGAAGCAGTAAAGCATAACTTACATCTTGCAGATGTTTTTCAAGAGACTTGAGCTTTGCATCTGCTTGACTCTGATCAGCGATCATATCAGCTTAAAATTCACCTATTGACCGCTGTTTGTTGGGAAAATTGAGGAAGAAAATTGAAAATAAAATTTGTATTATTCTCTCTAACAGACTTAGAAAAAGAATGAATACAGCTCTCTCAATGTAATCTCTCTCTAACCGTCTTAGAAAAAGAAATTACAACTCTTCTCGATCGGTGTCCTGATTTACAAAAGAGAGAATGGATCGACAGAGATCCTTCCCTTTGTTTAATCTGGGTTCTTCTCGGTATCGATGGGAGTTCAGATCCTTGTATCACATTGACGATCCGAACACTTCACCTCGTGGGCTACGGTGTCGTCCTCTTGAATTGATGTTGAGGAGAACTTGCAAGGCAAGTTTTAGAACTCTAAATGAGTTTAGAAGAACTTGACGAGCAAGTTGAAAACTCTAGAAGAGTTAAGAACACTAAACGAGTTTGAGAACTCTGTAAAAGAGTTAATTAACCAAAATGGTTCACAAACCAAGACAAGAAAGCTTCGAGGAAAGCTCCAAAGATCCGAAGTTTGCCGATCTCAAGCTGATTGAAGAAGATCCCCGATCTGCCAAAAGATCTCTGATGATCTAAAAAAAGATCGATCCTGAACTCAGTTGAGTTTGTTGCTATTTATGGGGAATTAAGGAGTGTAATCGTCCCCTTAATTCGCTCCTAAGTGGGGTTGTGATCCCTTCCGATCGTGGGAAACGATTTTGGAACCATTCAAGTCGTGTTTGAACGAGTCAAACGCCAATCTGGCGTTCTGGGCGTGAATTTTATATCTAGAACGCAGAGTTGGGTTCTGCGTTTGTGGCTGGAACACAGCAGTCGCTTCAGCATTCTGTTCCTAGAACGCAGATGTGAGCTCTGCGTTTTGTTGTTAAGACGCAGAGATGAGCTCTGCGTCTTGAGGTGAAGAGACCGTTGACTTGTAGTCTCTTTTTGTTAAAGCGTTGCAAAGTTCGTCATCTTGTAATCTTTGTCTTGGCTCTTTGAAATGTGAGTCGTCAGATTGTAACTCCCGCTGTTGATTGTAAAGACTGTTGAATCAGAACTTCCATCGGTTGTCGTGACGATCGTTGTGAAAATTTTCCAATTGTAGCATTCATCTGTTAACGTGAAAGTCGTCTGATTGTACTTTTATCATTGGATTGGTAACGCGAAAATTGTCAGGTTGCAACTTCCATCATCAGTGCTTGATGAGATTCAGCTATCTACAGTAAATTTTTTTAGACAGCCTACAGAACCCCCTCTAAAAATTTTAAAAGTTCGCAATCGACTGGAACGAATTTTCGGAATACTTTGGATCCCAAAATTGGATTAAGATTTATTAAGTGATTGTTCACTACATCCGTTTCGAAGGCATCATGAACTTGGTTGCAGAAATTTACTGAACAAGACTCACATGAGGGCGAGTGTCATGATTCTTCTTTTGGAACGCATAGGTGGTCCTTTGCGTTTGGGATTTAGAACGCAGAGATGGACTCAGCGTTTGGATGATGAGACGTAATGGTGAGATCGGCGCCTGGTCACTGAGACGTGCATGTGACTTCAACATCTGGGAGTCCAACCGACTCAATGTGAACGCAGGGGTCACGTTTTGGGCGAGATTTTTACCTAAAATTCCGTCCCGATTTGACAGCTCATACTTGTCTATAAATAGGCCGCCAAGCTCGAATCGAGGGTCATCTGACTCTTCTATTCCTCTCCGGCGAACTCAACGAAGATCTTCGTTCAAATCTCCGACGAACTTCCCACTCACGAATCCGATGGCCTCTAAGAAAACCGCTTCTAAGCCGCGTGCCAGGAAACCTACAGCAGCGAGTGCAAATGCATGAGGAAATGTTTTGACTGAGGAAATGTTTGTCTCATTAAGAGTGATGTAAGCTGAGTTCAAACCCTATGGGGATGATGATCATCTGAAGTGTAATGTTAACTTGACGATGTTGGGGGAACTTTGTCAACTGATTTAGCTTGGACCCTGTTGGGGATGCGCAGAGGTTTTGTCAACACTTTGTCAAAAGAGTTCATGATACATGACTTACATGAGAGTAAGTGCCATGTTGGAAGCGCGAGGATGGTATCCACGTTTAAGGTTTAAAAACTTGGGGGTGAACCCCTCGCTTTGAAATTGGAGCGCAAAAGTGACCTCTGCGTTTAGGGTTTGAAATGCGGAGCTGGAATCTACGTTAAAAATACTTGCAACAAGGGTCGAGACTTAGCGTTTGGGATTTTGAACGTAAGGGTGAGCTCTGCATTTGGAATTTGGAACGCAAAAACGAACTTTACGTTTAACCGAAGTCTAAACAACTTCATCTGATAATGCGGAAATCACGTTTGGCCGAGGTTCTCCTAGAATCCTGTGCTGCATTTAACAGCTTGGCTGTTGTATGAACAGACCACTTGGGTCAAATCAAGAGTTACTTAACTCTTTAATTCTCATCTTGATTCCTGAACGAAAATCTTCGTTGTCTTCAAGCTTTTTTGAAATCTCTGACGATTTTCTGACTTTTCTCATGTCATCAACGACAATGGCGTCCAGGAGATCCAGTTCTCGTCTGAGAAAGACTGAAGCATCGACCTCTGAAACGTTGCCGATTAAGGACACCGACGGTGTTCCCGATTCCGCAACCGCGNCCGCTGTCGATACCGTCGGGAGTACATGCCTGCTATGATAAGTGAGGATCACTGCAACTTGTTTCGACAGGTTCTTTCGAAACCCTAGATGGGTTCTGAGTTGATGACGACAAGGAGGACTTGTTCTTCTTTGGTTGAAACGCAGAGGTGGGCCTCCGCATTGGTTGTGAAACGCAAGAATGACGCTTGCGCAGGTCTTGATCTCTGCGTTCGGAATCTGAAACGCGGGGCTACCCTTGCGTTTTAAATTTAGAACACGTGGTTGACTTCTACGTTCTGAAATTGTAACGCCGGTTTCGACCCCAGCGTTTTGAAATCGAAATGCAAGTTTCGACCTCTGCGTTTGGCTTTTGTCCTTTGGACTTTTACAAGCTGCATATGTTTCAACTAATAACTTCTGCTTTTTATTTTGCAGTGTTTTTTCCCGATGTACTAATTTCCTTCGAGTATCACTTCGGGTATACCGGTGGTCCAGATGATAGTGTAGCTTTTGGTTTTCGTGAAGAACCTCAACTATGCACTCTTCAAGGTCTAGAACGAGCGTACAAGATCAGCGATGCCAGACCATCCACTCTTATAGCCTTGGTCACAAACATGGACATTGAGACGTCAGCAAGGAATGACCAGTTTGTAAAACCGACATTCCTTTTTGGAGATCACATACAAGTGGATGACCAATTTATACATGTAGAAAACTCCAAACTGCTGTGGAGGTTTGACGATCGTTTCCTCTTCCTGCCGAACACGAAGCGAATGGATCCGCTCTCCTATTTTTTGAGCGTCAGCTACCGCAGGAATTTTAGTTTTGATCTTGTCAAGGAGAAGGAGAATATATCCCTCAGGACCTTCGCTGATCAACATGTTCATTTTGTGAGGAGCGATGGACAAATTAAGGGCTTGAGACCCGATAGGATTGAGAAAAAAGATCTCTCTAAGGAGATGACCATTCCGGCGAACATTTTCATTCTCCACTTCATCGCTGCTCAGAGTGAATTCCCTGCGCAAGCATTCAGATCTCTTAGTTAGGTGCACATAGATCCCGCCTCTTCCTACCATAAATGCTTCCTCTTAGCACATAGCAAAGTTGGAACTTTTAATGAAATTTTCTTTTGAGAACATGAACCATAAATGCTTCCTCTTAGCACATAGCAAAGTTGGAACTTTTAATGAAATTTTCTTTTGAGAACATGATTTGAATGACAATGTTAATAATGAAATTTTCTTTTGAGAACATGATTTGAATGACAATGTTAAGATATCAAGCAATCAAATCCATTATGGATGGTCAGAAATATATATACGAAAAGACTAATATCTACAAATGTCTTTGTGTCCCTTAGGAGACAGGAGCTTTAATTTTCTAAGTGGTTATCATCTTCACATAAGTGCCTCTTTCCTTTACCACAGGTTATTGAAAGTGTGGGGAAATGTCTCAGCTCAATTGTTAATTAAAAAAAAAAAAAGACTCCTAAACTTGGACGGCGTCCATATGATTTGGAACTGTAATAAAATGTAAGAGAGCAATTTTACCTCAAAAGCATGCTTGTCTGGTTTCTATCCAACGCTTGTTTATGAAAAAAGTGAATGAGTAAAAGTGTGACTATATAGAGCATGCTAAGGGGTGCCAACGGGCCAGGTAAGGTAGGTTTCTGAGCATTTTGCACCCGAACCCAAAATATCAAGTAAATTTTTTAGAGTAAAACCCACAAGTCGGTTTTTGGATTAGCTTTTCTACTTTCATGTGCGCTGTAAACGTATGACAAGTTAGGTTTCATATAGTGTACTACCAAGATAATAGTTTTCTTGGCCCAGAATCTAATTGTTTTATAACACATAAAGTTAGATTTCTTTTCAAAATTCTTCCACACAAAACGTTTAACACCACTGTTGATAATGTGCAAATAACAAAAAGTTGCATAAATATTAAGTAATATTGCATAAAGGTTTGTAATTGTAATAAATTGGCATGATGATGGATGAGAATGCTCAGTAAATATGTCAGTCAAGCTTGCTTTCTCCCAATTTATTAGTTATCAGAAATTTGATACCTTCAAAAACAACATAACCCAAGAACTCAAAAGAGATTTTAAACTAGTTGTGCATCAAGACAGAAGTTTAATGTGCAGTTTCAGTATTCCTACATGGAATGGAAAACATCCCAAGTTTCAGGTGAACTTGTCAATTTTGGTGACCCAAATGCATGAGCAGCATGACTACTTATATCTTAATGAAAGATTATTAATTTGCAGAGTCACCACATAATGTAAGATGCAATAGAACAATTTATAGTCATTGCATCATTCTCTAGACTTTAAATTCCGGAATCTCAAACCTCATCCTAACTTAATTATAAGTTCCTTCCTTACAAAATCTTGGCTTCAATCATCTTCGTCCTGTCCTGATCCATCAGGACCTGATGTAAAAGATGCTTCAAATTTGACGTGCATAAATTTTTGTTTATAATAAGTAATAATCATCAAAAGAATATATCGCATGAGTATCACTTTTTTCCTTACCAATCAAATAATGTAAAAGAGGTCATGTATGTATAAGGTTCAAGAAGATAACAAAGATTAAGGATTATGGGTGCCAAATTATGGATAGTGAATTGAAAGAATACACCAAAATATGGATAGAAACACACCTTATTGTCCCTGACGGCATGTGGACTACTACCATTTTTTGGCCTAAATGCATTGGCGTTGCGTTCTAAAATAACTTCAACAGCCTCATGCCTGGCAGCTTCATTTTCTTCATTGTTGCAACAGTTTGTACAGTTGCATCCATCACAGTAAACCCCTGCCGAAAAACACTCACAATACCTGGCAATGCTTTGAAAAATTAGATGTGAAATAACATCGAAGGAAATCCAGCATTCAAAATATACTTATGACAAATGTAAATTCGTAAATGCCAGCATTTTTGCTCAGTATGTGCACACCCGCATGCACGAGCACACGCTCATACACACTGGCACACATATCAGTACAGAAGATGATTATAAACTTTCATTATTCTCACTAAGCTGAAAGACTAATATCTAAAAAAAACTTCCTAAAACGATGAAGAAAAATATGAAAAGATTATTCACAATTTTTTATTAGTAACAATAAATTCACCTAATCTTTTTCACATGGACAAAATGGTAGCATTAGAAAAAGCTACAAGTTAGCATCAGGCTAATGACAAAGTACACAATAATATATAAGGATATTTTGTGCTTTTGGCTATTTCATAAAGGGGCGTATATTTCTTGCTTACCTATGAACTTACTAGGCCAAATGCTTCAAGAGAAGATTCAGGGTGGATAATGAATAAGGGTAAACTATGACCCATACCCATTATATTTTGAAAACTATGTGACATAGACGTGAAATGCACAATATCTTAAATGTATGTAGATTATCATGCACAAGGAAAAAGGTCAAACATGAATATACCACATATCTCGCTTCCATATTCTCCATGTTCCAACATGTAAGTCATGTTTAAATTAGTTTGTCGCCTCAGATTGCAAACAAGTAATATGCCGAGTCAAGCAAAAACTATAGTGTGTGGTAACAACATGCCTTTAACGTTATACTCGATGGTGTGAAATATGTGATTACTGTTTCCTAAATATTTAGTTGAGCTATGTACAGTATCACAGGTAAGATTCTAATCTTCTGAAAATATAGACTAAAAATAGGAAATAATTAAGTAAAGCATGTTTCCTTGCAAGTTATTGCATATATGAGGGTCTAACAGTTAGAGTCTTTTGTACCTATCTCTACATGTAGAATTTAATAGCTAAGAGATCATTTGCATTATTTCCTTCCCAGAATGACAATTGACAGCTACAGCATATGCTCTATCATCCTCAGAAGAGAATGACATTTATTGAGAAGGACTAATGTAATTAATTTGGACCGAGAAATAGGAATTTAAGAAGATAAATTCATCAATTGTAGGTAAATATGAAGTTTCATTTCCAATTGAGCTCTTCCATAGAACCATGCTTGCCACAACTCAAAGGGTGTCATGAAATGTTTACTAAGAGCAAGGAACATCATGGTTCCATTTACATGTGACACACGACATACATAATGTTGGAATAACGATAGTTCAACATATATTCTTGTATGTCATAAATAGACGTCAGTCTGTGAAAACATCTAAGAAACCTATGACATTAATGAATAATAAGCATCCCTTCTATCTCCAACAATCCAGAACAATCTATTAAACACAACCTTCCATAATCTAATCTTCTGTCATTTAGAACCTTCCATTAGCTAATAAAAAATTAGGTATCCAAAGAGTAGGCGTAATTTCCTTATAAATCATGAAACATAATTTCACTAGCACCTGTCATAAATAAACATAACACTGAATTATATAATTTAAGATAATTGTTATACAAGAAGGGAGCATCAATATGAATCTTGAAAATTATCGCTGTTTGAGTATCTTAAATATTTTATTATTATTTACCCTCTAAGTTTGCAAGACTCTGCATGGAAACTATGAACGAGAGGAGATTGCCATAAATTCTAAGAAGATCAGTCAGAAGATAAGAAAATCTGCTCGAGTATTTTATTGGTCACACAGCCTAAGAGGAAGCTCATGCAATTGATGAGCAACCTTGATCTCTTGTTCAAAATAGTAGGATCCAATGTAAGAGTGGTTGTCACGAAATTCACTAGTAAATGTAAACAACCCCTTTTATTTCTGCCGCTCACTATCATCCTTGATCTCTTGCAATATTTTCATTAACACCTGCAGCATACTTCTACCCGTTCTCACACTCCTCCTTCTCCTTGGTCTCCTTTGAAAACAAGATAAGTTCCTTTGTTATTGACTTTGAGCTTCAATGAGATAAGGCAAAGGCCTCCAGCTTTCTCCACCACCCTCTTTCGCACAATTCCGTTCTCTCTTATGCAATTATCAATGTTTTAAAAGCAAATGACCCTAGCGTCTCAGGTGCTCATGTGAGGTGATATCTTACCTTAACGCCTTTCATATCGCAAAGAGATGAAGGTTACTAAGGTGAGAGCCTTTCGGCGCCTCAAGAGCTCACAGAGGCGTCTCATGCGCTTACCTAAGGCATGCGGGAAGGAATGAAAGGAGTCTCTATTTAAATTTTTTGAGGGTGTGAGATTTGTCTTCTGATAAAGTACAGTTTGTTTTTTCCCCATCCTTTTCGCTTGGTTGATCTTTTGCTATTCTTGTTGTAGTTAACCTTAGTGTGCGCGGGCACGTGGCGCACGCGCATGATCTCAAGTGCATTCCAGAATTTGACCCTTGAAAGCTCAAACTTTGTTGTTTAATTATGCATGTTAGTAGTTGCTAGTTATTATTATTATTTACTATCTGTTGCCTACTGCTATGTAGATGGCCTATGTCTTGTCAGGTACCATAAGTTGTGACTTCAAAATTCAATTGTAAAAGATTTGTCCCATTGGTATGGTGTTTAATTGCATATTATTTGTATATTATGTGTAATGTTTATGAATTTCTTGAAGATCATCGCACCGGTTCACTGAGGCAATCGCCTTTTTTGGGGCCTCTCGCCACAGGCAACATAGTACTTTATCACCTTGACCTCACCTTTCGCTTCTAAAAACTGGCAATTATATAAGAATGAAGATATAGGCTTTAGTTAATATTTTCTTATAAAAATCTACACTTGTTTTCTTCAAAATAAGTTATAGGCCTGAGTCCTGACATGCATATGAAGATGAAGGTCTTAGAATTAGAGAACTTTGCAGAATCAAATAAGACCAGGACTGCATCTGAAACTAGGTTTGATGTCTATGACATTGTGTATTCTTCACTATAAGATGTACTAAAACGGATATAGCCCACTTCTTGCAGACTTGCAGAATCATTAATAACATCTGCATACCACTGCCACTACTTTCACTATGCAACATAAAATCTAATTAACAATTCTTACGGGCATTAAAATATGTCACAAAAATGGGTGAGATTCGCTGTGCTCTTCCAGTCTATAAATGATGTTTATGTTTAGAAAGATATCACATACAAGATATTGTACCTTTAAATTATAAAGAACTACTGAAATACATATATTATGCCCTCCATGCACATGAAAAAACATGAACAAACAGTAAGCAGTGAATCAAAACTTCATTTTGGCGTAAAATCCATGTAAACACTATAAACGAAGGCATAGAACGTACAGCTTCAGGCATCTCGAATGTTTACAATTGCAATTCTTTTTCCTTGTTGGAGTACCGTCTTTCACTTCATATATAGGTCTTGGTCGTGATTTTGGTGACTCTGGCTTCCTGGAAGAGAAAATTACAAGGAGATAATTTTATGTGATTTCATTCTTACAGTAAAAGTATCTAAAGAAGCATGAATCTTGAAGGTGGATATCTATACGTTTGAAAGATCATAGGCATGTACCACATATATATAACAGATGAAAAAGAGATCCCAAATTTTGGGGGAAGCATGATCCATAGAGTGTAGAAATACAGTTCACTTAGCCGTTAGCCGCTTATTTTGCAAGAACCAGGGAGCCATCGAAGGAGGATAGCTGAAAAAGTTAAGGTTTTGAGGGAGGAACGATGAATCTAAAGAGGTGTCACAAATCTATAATTATGAAACCCACAAAATGTGGCATATTAGTGGGAAAATTCATGATTTCAAAATCAGAGTAAGTCTGTTGTCTCCTATAATTGGTTCGCATATGGCACAATAACTTTACAAATCAAAGATAACTCCTTTATACCAGTATTTAAATGCAATAGAAGGAACTAAAGAGCCGCATCAAGTTCCCAAAATTTGAAACTCCAGAATTTTTGAACTTCATAGCTAAACACAACAGAAGAAATTCAAGTAACCATATAATTCATTCTTAAACCAAAGGAAACAAACTTACTCTCACTAGATAAAAATAACATGAAATTTTCGACATAAAAAAAAGAACCCCTTACTTCCTCATCAAAAATTCATATAAAATTCACAGTAAATTCAAAATAACCAAAGTTAACTACTAATCTCCAAAAGTAACAGCAATCGAGCACCAAATCACAAAATCAACAAAAAGTAACAAAAAAACCCAACAAAATTCGAACTTCACAACAAAATTGAAGGCCCAAGGTTGAACAGAAAACCTACACCGAGATTGGAACTGAAGGCCGCGGTATCGGAGCAGTAGGACACGTCAGATGCTGCTTCTGTGGAGACGGCTGCGGAGTAGTGCATAAAAGGTTTGTAATTGTAATAAATTGGCATGATGAATGGAAATGAGAATGGTCAGTAAATATGTCAGTCAATAGCTTGCTTCTCCGCCAATTTATTAGTTATCAGAATTTGATACCTCAAAAACAAACATAAACCGGCAAGAAGCTCAAAAGGAGATTTTAAACTAGTTGTGCATCAGAGAACAGAAAGTTTAATGTGCAGTTTCTCAGTATTACCTGACATGGAATGGAAAAGCATCCGCAAGTTTCCAGGTGAACTTGTCAAATTTTCGGTGACACCAAATGCATGAGCCATGCATGAACTACTTAATATCTAATGAAAGATTATTAATTTGCAGAGTCACCAGCAGAATGTAAGATGCAATAGATACAATTTATAGTCATTATGGCATCATTCTCCTAGAACTTTAAAAATTCCGGAAATTCAAAACCTCATCCTACTTAAATTATAAAGTTCCTTCCTTACAATAAATCTGGCCTTCATATCTTCGTCCTGATCCTGATCCATCAAGGACTGATGTAAAAGATGCTTCAAATTTGACAGTGCATAAATTTTTGTTTTATAATAAGTAAATAATCCATGCAAAAAGAAATATCGCATGAGTATCAATTTTTTCCTTACCAATCAAATAATGTAAAAAGGTCATGTATGTAAAAAGGTTCAAGAAGATAACAAAGATTAAGGATTATGGGTTGCCAAATTTGGATAGTGAATTGAAGAAATACACCAAAAATATGGATAGTAAAACAACCCTTATTGTCCCTGACGGCAATGTGGACTACTAGCCATTTTTGGCCTAAATGCCATTGGCAGTTGCGTTCTAAAATAAGCTTCAAGCAAGCCTCATGCTGGCACTTTCATTTTCTTACATTGTTGGCACAGTTTGTACAGTTGCATCCATCAGCAGTGGAAAACGGCCCTGCCGAAAAAATCCCACTACAATACCGCAATGCTTTTGAAAACAATTAGATAGTGAAATAACATCGACAGGAAATCCAAGCATTCAAAATATACTTATACGACAAATGTAAATTCGTAAAATGCGCAGCATTTTTTGCTGGCCCAGTATGTGCACACCCGCATGCACGAGCAGCAAACGCTCAATACCACACTGGCAGGCACATATCAGTCAGAAAGATGATTATAAACTTTCCATTATTCTCACTAAGCTGAAAGACTAATATCTAAAAAATAACTTCGCTAAAACGATGAAAGAAAAATATGAAAAGTATTATTCACGGAATTTTTTATTTAGTAACAAATAAATTCCCGTAATCTTTTCAACATGGACAAAATGGTATAGCATCTAGAAAAAGCTTACAAGTTTTTTTTAGGCATCAGGCTAATGACAAAGTACACAATAATATATAAGGATATTTATGTGCTTTTGTCTATTCAAAAGGGGCGTATATATTTCTTGCTTACCTATGAACTTACTAAGGCCAAATGCTTCAAGAGAAGATTCAGGGTGGATAATGAATAAGGGTAAAGCTATGAGCGCGCATACCCATTATATTTTGAAAAACTATGTGACATTAGACGTGAAATGCACATATCTTAATGTATGTAGATATCAATGCACAGGAAAAAGGTCAAACATGAATATACGCAGCATACTCTGCGCTTCGCATATTCCTCCATGTTCCACACATGTAAAGTCATGTTAAATTAGTTTGTCGCCATCGGCAGATTGGCAAGCAAGTAATATGCCGAGTCAAGGCAAAAAACTATAAGTGTGTTGTACACAACATGGCCTTTAACGTTATATCGATGGTGTGAAATATGTGATTATTGTTTTCCTAAATATTTAGTTGAGCTATGTACAAGTATCAAGGTAAGATTCTAATCTTCTGAATATAGACTAAAATATGGAAATTAAATTAAGTAAAAGCATGTTTCCTTAGGCAAGTTATTGCAATATATGAGGGTCTAACAGTTAGAGTCTTTTTTGTACCTATCTCTACATGTAGATTTAATAGCTAAGAGATCATTTGCATTATTTCCTTCGCCAGAATGACAATTGACAGCTACAGCATATGCTTCCTATATCCTCAGAAGAAGAATGACATTTATTTGAGGAAGGACTAATGTAATTAATTGGACCGGAGAAATAGGAATTAAGAAGATAATATTCATCATTGTAAGGTAAATAATGAAGATTTCATTTCAAATTGAGCTCTTCGCATAGAACCATGCTGCCACAACCTCAAGGGTGTCATGAAATGTTTACTAAGAGCAAGGAACATCAATGGTTAACATTTACATGTGACACACTACATACATAATGTGGAATAACGATAGTTCAACCATATGATTCTTAGTATGTCAATAAATAACGTTGCAGTCTGTGAAACATCTAAGAAAGCCATATGACATTAATGAATAATAAGCATCCTTCTATCTCCAACAATCCCGAGAACAATCTTATTAAACACAACGCTTCCAATTAATCTAATCTCTATGTCATTTTAGAACCTATCCAGTTAGCTAATAAAAAAATTAGGTATCGCAAAGAGTAGGCAGTAATTTCTTTATAATGCATGAACATAATTTTCACTAGCCCTGTCATAAATAAACATAACACTGAATTATATAATTTAAGATAATTGTTATACAAGAAGGAGCATCAAAAATATGAATCTTGAAAATTATCGCTGTTTGAGTATCTTAAATATTTTTATTATTATTTACACGCTCTAAGTTTGCAAGACTCTGCATAGGAAACTAAATGAAACAGAGAGGAGATTGCCATAAATTCTAAGAAGATCAGTGCAGAAGATAAGAAAATCTGCATCGAGTATTTTATTGTGCACAACAGCCTAAGAGGAAGGCTCATGCAATTGCATGAGCAACCTTGATCTCATTGTTCAAAATAGTAAGGGATCCAATGTTAGAGTGTTGTCACGAAAATTCACATTAGTAAATGTAAACAACACCCTTTTAATTTCTGGCCGCTCAGCTTCAGATCTCTTCCTGCCATAAATGCTTCCTCTTAGCACATAGCAAAGTTGGAACTTTTAATGAAATTTTCTTTTGAGAACATGATTTGAATGACAATGTTAAGATATCAAGCAATCAAATCCATTATTGATGCTCAGAAATATATATACGAAAAGACTAATACCTAGAAATGTGTTAGTGTCCCTTAGGAGACAGGAGCTTTAATTTTCTAAGTGGTTATCATCTTCACATAAGTGCCTCTTTTCTTTCGCACAGGTTATTGAAAGTGTGGGGAAATGTCTCAGCTCAATTGTTAATTAAAAAAAAGACTCCTAAACTTGGACGGCGTCCATATGATTTGGAACTGTAATAAAATGTAAGAGAGCAATTTTACCTCAAAAGCATGCTTGTCTGGTTTCAATCCAACGCTTGTTTATGAAAAAAGTGAATTGAGCAAAAGTGTGACTATATAGAGCATGCTAAGGGGTGCCAACGGGCCAGGTAAGGTAGGTTTCTGAGCATTTTGTACCCGAACCCAAAATATCAAGTAAATTTTTTAGAGTAAAACCCACAAGTCGGTTTTTGGATTAGCTTTTCTACTTTCATGTGCGCTGTAAACGTATGACAAGTTAGGTTTCATATAGTGTACTACCAAGATAATAGTTTTCTTGGCTCAGAATCTAATTGTTTTATAACACATAAAGTTAGATTTCTTTTCAAAATTCTTCCACACACAACGTTTAACACCACTACTGATAATGTGCAAATAACAAAATGATGCATAAATATTAAGTAATATTGCATAAAGGTTTGTAATTGTAATAAATTGGCATGATGATGGATGAGAATGCTCAGTTAAGATGTCAGTCAAGCTTGCTTTCTCCCAATTTATTAGTTATCAGAAATTTGATACCTTCAAAAACAACATAACGCAAAAACTCAAAAGAGACTTTAAACTAGTTGTGCATCAAGACAGAAGTTTAATGTGCAGTTTCAGTATTCCTACATGGAATGGAAAACATCCCAAGTTTCAGGTGAACTTGTCAATTTTGGTGACCCAAATGCATAAGCAGCATGACTACTTGTATATTAATGAAAGATTATTAATTTGCAGAGTCACCACATAATGTAGAAACCATGCATCATCATCATCTTTAAATTGTCTTTGCTAGCCAAATATAAGATGCAATAGAACAATTTATAGTCATTGCATCATTCTCTAGACTTTACATTTCGGAATCTCAAACCTCATCCTAGCTTAATTATAAGTTCCTTCCTTACAAAATCTTGGCTTCAATCATCTTCGTCGTGTTCTGATCCATCAGGACCTGATGTAAAAGATGCTTCCAATTTGGCGTGCATAAATTTTCGTTTATAATAAGTAATAATCATCAAAAGAATATATCACATTAGTATCACATTTTTCCTTACCAATCATATAATGTAAAAGAGGTCATGTATGCATAAGGTTCAAGAAGATAACAAAGATTAAGGATTATGGGTGCCAAATTATGGATAGTGAATTGAAAGAATACACCAAAATATGGATAGAAACACACCTTATTGTCCCTGACGGCATGTGGACTACTACCAATTTTTGGCCTAAATGCATTGGCATTGCGTTCTAAAATAACTTCAACAGCCTCATGCCTGGCAGCTTCATTTTCTTCATTGTTGCAACAGTTTGTACAGTTGCATCCATCACAGTAAACCCCTGCCTGAAAACACTCACAATACCTGGCAATGCTTTGAAAAATTAGATGTGAAATTACATCGAAGGAAATCCAGCGTTCAAAATATACTTATGACAAATGTAAATTCGTAAATGCCAGCATTTTTGCTCAGTATGTGCACACCCGCATGCACGAGCACACGCTCATACACACTGGCACACATCAGTACAGAAGATGATTATAAACTTTCATTATTCTCACTAAGCTGAAAGACTAATATCTAAAAAAAACTTCCTAAAACGATGAAGAAAAATATGAAAAGATTATTCACAATTTTTTATTAGTAACAATAAATTCACCTAATCTTTTTCACATGGACAAAATGGTAGCATTAGAAAAAGCTACAAGTTAGCATCAGGCTAATGACAAAGTACACAATAATATATAAGGATATTTTGTGCTTTTGGCTATTTCATAAAGGGGCGTATATTTCTTGCTTAGCTATTAACTATGAAGCACGGACACGCATAACATGAAGACGTGTCGTGTCGTGTCCGTGTCGGACACACGTGTCGAACACACATATCCTATGTATTTTTTAGGATTTGCCTCGTGTCGGCGTGTCGGATGGCCGTGTCGGATCCGTGTCCGTGCTACATAGGCTATTAACTTACTAGGCCAAATGCTTCAAGAGAAGATTCAGGGTGGATAATGAATAAGGGTAAACTATGACCCATACCCATTATATTTTGAAAACTATGTGACATAGACATGAAATGCACAATATCTTAAATGTATGTAGAATATCATGCACAAGGAAAAAGGTCAAACATGAATATACCACATATCTCGCTTCCATATTCTCCATGTTCTAACATGGAAGTCATGTTTAAATTAGTTTGTCGCCTCAGATTGCAAACAAGTAATATGCCGAGTCAAGCAAAAACTATAGCATGTAGTAACAACATCAACATGCCTTAAAAGTTATACTTGATGGTGGGTGTTTGGTTCAAAAGTTGGTTCTGTTGAGGAATTCATTATAACTTTGTTTGATTATAACAAATTCGAAAGAATAATCTTTTTATAAGACTTTTTCTACACAACAAAACGAAAATTACAACTCTTGAGAAACAAACACAAAAATCGTCTATCGATCTTTGTTTTCGTGGGACTTTGCCTGTGCCGGGAACGCTTTGGTTCGTGGACCGCCGAATCACAGATCGTGAAGGGGGTTTACTGATTCTGACTTCGTTTATCGAAGTGAGAAATTGAAACGATATCTTATCAAAGTAAGATAGTCGTTCTTCTTAAAATCAAGTCAAAGCTTAATTTCAAGACGTTGCAAGAAAACTCAAATCTGCTCTCTCTCTGCTCTGGAATGCTCTAACAAATGCTCGATCCTCGTCAGAAGTGACCCTAAGGGGGTATTTATAGCCTCAGGGGTCTACAACTGAAAAAACTCAACAAATGACGACGTTAGGCTGTCGAGACAGTGTTTGCTGTCTCGACGGGCGAGATAGTGTTTGCTGTCTCAACCCGTGAGACAGTAAACGCTGTCTCGGAAACAGGTAACCGCAGGCAGTTTTCGTTTTAACTGCCTTCCCACGTTTCAAACTCCGTTATTTTGGCAGTTATTCACGTGATTTCCGCCCACGATGTTTCCCACGTCCCTTGGCAGTTAATGGACACGTGTAGGGCAGTTACAAAGGTAGTTTTGACCATTTCAACACTGTCTCTCTGGCGAGACAGCAAAGACTGTCCCGCTGGCGAGACAGCAAAGACTGTCTCGCTGGCGAGACAGCAAAGCCTATCTCGCTGGCGAGACAGTTCATTCCTGTCTTGATTTTCAATATGAGATCCCTTTGAGTGATTTTCTCTATGTTTGGGATATCTATTAGCATTTTTTGACGCCTACAGATACCCCCCCAAAGTATTCCAGACTCATTCTTCGCCTACAGATACCCCCTCCAAAGTATTCCAGACGCATTCTTTTATAGAAGAGTCTAGGATACTTTGGATAAGATAGGTTTTACTTACGATCCCTTCGATGCTTGGTTGAGTAGATCGTGTGAAAGGACTTGTGAATGGCTTCAATGCTTGATCTCTGTTGCTTTTAGTCTATTCAGTTCTTTGTAGAATAGCTAATGTCTTCCCCGGCGTCACGTTTATCGCTTGACCGTTGTCGAGATTTTGAATTGAAGTTAGTATCTGCTCTTGCGGGTTCAGCTTTTACCACTGAGTTGATATATCTATTGAGAGCTCATCAGGTTATCCTTAAGAATATTCAGATTAATATTCTATAGAAACTTCCTGTTGAGGGTAGGAATACAGTTTAGACTCGTGTACCCATTGGAGTATTCATCTGCATTGCATTTGGCTTTTGACTAAGAGAATGCCCTCCATCTCATGCT